ACCGTATTTTTTTATTAAGAACTTTTTGAGATATAAAGATTTGAAAGTTCCAATATTTTGACATAAATTACAAAATATCTTGTGAAATATTCATTTTTTTATCATCATACCTTAATACTTTTTTAACAGAATAATGAGACAAATCAACCGGTATAAAGAAAACACACAATTGTTTAAAAAAAATCGCTATAATTTTGTAACAAGTAATAAAAAAGAATTTTATCCATGTCAAAAGATAGTTTTTTTTTAAATCAAAATACGTGTTTTACCGTTTTTTATCATTTCATTTTTACAAAAATTATTTAGGGGTTTCCACACTTTTGACAAACCCTGTATATTGTTATACAATGTACATTGCAACATATATGCATATAAAGTTATCAGTAAAGACCAGTTAATAATTATCGCTTAAACTATACAGGGTGTCCCAATTTAATGTCCCACCCATTTGTGTCCCCCTTCGAACCAAACAACTTTTGTCTGAAACATTTTTTTCTGCGATCAAAAATAAAAAAGTTATTCGGGGTGGGACATTAAATTGGGACACCCTGTAGAAAACAGATATAAAGGGTGAAGAAAAAGTATGGAAACCCTGAAAAATCTCAAAAAATATAAGTTTTACAGAAAAATGTTTCGGACAAAAGTTATACAGTTTTAAAAGGACTATATAATAGTATATTTAATTTACGAAAAAAATTAATTTTTTATGATTATATGGAGTTCGCCACCATTTTCTTTAATGGAATCCCCTATTGTTTATTATACTATCTTATTTTACTAATTAATATGAACAACTTTTGTCTGAAACATTTTTTTATTTGCCTAATGCTTTTTGAGATATTCAAGAGAAAATTTATAACTTTAAATGTTTTCTTCTTCTAAACTTCAATGTTTAACTTATGATATCTCGATAACTGTTTGTCAGAGGGAAAAGTAGTACAGGACTTTTTTACTTGATTTGTTCTCAGGAATATGCTGTCGCAATAGTGCTCCAATTATGGAAAATTTTTGTGTATTGTACCATCCACAAAATTTACATACATAAAAATTTTCAATAATTAGAGCACTATTGCGACAGCATATTCCTGAGAACAAATCAAGTAAAAAAGTCCTATACTACTTTTCCCTGTGACAAACAGTTATCGAGATATCATAAGCTAAACATTGATAAAGTTATAAATTTTTTCTTGAATATCTCAAAAAGTATTAGGCAAATAAAAAATGTTTCAGACAAAAATTGTTCATATTAATTAGTAGAATAAGATAGTGTAATAAAAAATAGGGGGTTCTATTTAAAAAAATGGCGGCGACCTCCATATAATCATAAAAAATTAATTTTTGTCGAAAATTAATTTTACCATTATATAGCCCTTTTAAAATCGTACAACTTTTGTCTGAAACATTTTTTGTAAAACTTATATTTTTTTAAATTTTTCGGGGTTTCCATACTTTTTCTTCACCCTGTATATTTATTTAAGTGTTAAGAGGATCCTTCAGCCGTCTGTATTACCGACAGAATTACATTTTGGTAGTTATAACCTTTCGTCGTATTAAATTCATGAAATCAAAAATGCTTGCGTACAATCACAGTATATGCATTAATGATCCAAGGAATCTCCGATTTTATACAAAAAATGAATAAAAATTTCAAAATTCATATATTGATTAGTATTATCCTTGTAGACGAACTGTCACTTCGTCATAACTTATGCTTCGTATAAAAGTTTTACAACTTGTACTCACATGAAAGTGAGTTTCCTGGAATTGGATTACATGTAAAATTACTGTAAAACCCTCCAAATTGGGATTAGAGGTTTTAAATAAGAATATATAATAGTTTGTATGAAACTTTCGCGTTTATGTATGGGTGTGATGTATTGTACATGTGTATCTGTGTGGTTATGTAGGCTGCGTTTCGTGTTTAGATGGCGCATTAATGACGTCACATGCGAGAAATCGCATGTCAAAACTTCTTGCGAAATACGTTGAAATAAAAAGAAATATCCATAAAATGATACTTGTGATCGATTCAATAAATGAGTAAAATACTCCGGACACTTGTCTTTTGTTGTCAAAATTAATGAAAAAGTGTAAAACTAGTATAATATGTGTTATGTCCTGGGATCGAGTGGTTAAGTAACAAGACTTAATTAACAACCAAACGAATGTATATATTTAGAAATAGTAGTGATCGGCTCGGCGGCTACCAGGCAACTGGCGCACGCTGCGTATGAATACCAGAACACAAGTTAGGCGAAGACACAACGTGTCTTCCTTGATTGTAGATGTGTATGATTATGTTCTCGGACATTACATTTTCCTCCCTTTTACGTAAGAATTCGCCTTTTTAATCTTTCAGATCGCCGTGGTTTGTTTTTTGGTTCGCTTAGTGTTTCCTTCCCGGTGACACATGTATTTCCATTTACATCGCTTTTCTCTATGTAACGAACGATCTGGTCGACGTGACGCTTCCAGATTTCACTGGGCGCAATCTCCACGTTAAACGTTACTGGGGATAATTTCTCAATTATTTTACCCTTAATACGTTTTTCATTGCGCACGCTGAAATCATCTACAAGGACAACGTCTCCTACTCTAAAGTCTACTTTTCGCTTTCCTCTTTTGCCAATTATTTGCGCAGTCTGTTTTTTGTCGACCGTCTCGCCTACGTCAGGTCGAAGTAGATCAAATCTAGTTCTAAGCTCGTGCTTATACGCGAGATAGGCGGGACTTCTACCGGTCGTGCAGTGTTCGGTCGCTCTGTAATCGAACAAAAATATATCTATTGCTTCCTCGAGATTTCTTCCGCTTTTCATAATTTTCGTAACTTTATCTTTAAACGTTTGAACAAAGTTTTCAGCTGCCCCATTCGTCGCAGGATGATGAGGTGCTGAAAAGCTATGTTTTATTCCATTACATTCAGTGAACTCTTTGAACTCAAGGCTAGAGTACTGGCGACCGTTATCCGTCACCAGATGACGCGGTAATCCAAATCGAGCAAACAATTTCCGAAATACTTTAATTACTTCTGTCGACGTCGTACATTTTCGCATATCGATAACTTCTGGCCATTTCGCATGAGCGTCGATAACGATCATAAACATATGACCGTGGAATGGACCAAGAAAGTCGCTGTGAATCCTACTCCAAAACTTGTCTGGCCATGGCCATGGTGTTAATGGTACACTCGATGGCTTTTTCTGTTCTTGTCCGCACGCTAAGCAAGATGCTGTAATTTGCTCAATTTCGCCATCGATACCTGGCCACCAGACGTATGACCTCGCTATCATTTTCATTCTTACAGTTCCAAAGTGAGACGCGTGTAATTCTCGCAACACTAAACTTTTCACTGATTCTGGGATTACGATTCTATATCCCCAGAAAAGGCATCCTTTTTCCACGAACAACTCTTCACGTTTAGCATGAAACTTTTGTTCATACTCACTTAACTCGTTCACTTTTGGCCATTGATCAATCGCATATCTTACAATTTTATTCAACACTTTATCACGTTTCGTTTCCTTCGCAATTTCCACCGCATTTAGTGTTTGTAACACTTCGCTTACATAATTCATCGCAGTGTATTCGTTCCCGAAGATTGGCGTTGCATCCTTGACGGGAAGTCTCGACGAA